CGGTCCCTAAGTCCTCAACAAACAAAATGCTTGGGAGGTGGGAAGTTGCCGGCTTAAGGTGGAAAGGAGGGCAGTCCTAGCTTGGTGCCTACAGGTGACAAGTAGGGTGCCAGTCCCTTTGGGGAAAAATGAAGAAGGTGAGAAGAACTGGTTTCAGAAGTAAGATAATCAGCTCAGATTTTAGTAAGTTGGATTTTATTTTATTTGGTTGTTATTACCTTAAATGGCAATGGGAGGAAAACGTTTCCTCCTGAAAAAGTCCTGAAGTCACAATCCTGGCTTAACTGGGTACACATTGTCAGCTCCAGTTCATGTAATTTGGGGTCAGTTTTATGAGGTCCCCATAGAGAGAGAAGCAGCTTCACCCGACCCTCCAGTAGCAAGGGGAGCTGCTTCTCTCTCTGCTTTCCCCGAATCAGATCCTCTCCGTTAACTGGAAATTCCACTGAAGCTGAAAGGGGAAGTTTTGGCTTCTGGTTAACACTGACCTTACTCTTAAGGTCCAGTGGTGAGAATCTCTTAGCAGCACTGGCTTTGGGGGGTCTGTGCTTACCAAGGCTTTCAGAGGACATGGCACTGCCAGGCTGCATGGGCCACTCAATTATTGCTTCAGGACAGCTGAAGGAATGCTGATGTCGTCCACCAAGATGTGGCCAAGGGGCTTTGGAAATGCAGCACCTCAGAACACGCTCGGCTGGGCAGGAATGGCGAGGTGGCAGGTCCACCAAGCAGGATGCCAGCCTCAGGCCCCCTGAAGCCGACCGGCCATCAGGTGGCCAGTCCTGGAAGCAGGGCAGGAGGTGGAGCCTTATACACCGGCTTCTCTCTCTCTGGGCCCGACCCACTTTCTCAGCTGTGCTTCACGCGGGCCCCAGCAGTGGCCTTCTGTCCCAGGACAGTACCACTCTCACTGCCAACCTATGCTCACACTCTTCTGGGCCTTGGCACTCTGTCCTCTCCTCCTGCCATCCAGCACACCTCTTCCAGGAAGCCACTGTGACCACTCACCCTACCAGGATGAATCTCTCTATCCCCCCACTGCCTGGCCCCGCTCAGCCCTCACTCCCTGGGCCCATTTTTAGTTATCTTTGACTGTGCAGGTGTAAATTCACCTTGCAACTCTCAGCACGTTGATAGCAGGGTCTGTATTTTCCTTCATTCCTCACTTCCACAAGGCCTAGAACAATGACCAGAGAACGTACTTCATAAATAATTTTGTTTATATAAGGAATACTTTGTATAATTATTTTATTTGTGTAAACAATAAATCATTTATTTGTGTAATGTGTATGTTTAGTGCTCAGGGGTACAATATTTTGATAGAGGAGCCAGAGAAAAGATGTGACAAAAGCCTGGCAACCTAGGCTGACAGTACATTTCCTCTTCCACAGAAAGATACAGCCAGGAAAACTCTTTCCCCAGGAGGTAATCCATGCCAGCCCAGCTTTCCATGTCCATGCAAAACCCTTTGGTCTCTCAGCAGAATAAAGCAGCCTTGGTTCGAGGATAACCTGACCATGGTGAGGAGGGATGAGAGGCAGATGAAACCCACTGTGCCTCAGCCTGGGCTCCGAACACATTTTTGTTTGAAGAGAAAAGCTACTTACAGCAACTTTCAGACCTTCTGTGATTATTAGCATTGCTGGCTTTACAAATAACAGTAATATTTTCTTGTTAACGTTACTTCATGCTGAAATTTAGCAACTATCAAATAGGAGATATGGCCAAGACATCTCAGCCACGGAGCACACTCAAAGCTAACAGCGTAGACAGGAAACTCAGTTGATTCTAGCTCATCTGGAAATCCAGAAGGTTCCACCTCACTTCCACCTCAGTGCCCTCAGATTCCAGAACACTGAGTGTATCCTCCGGGTGGGAACGAAGTAACGTAGATCAAAAAAGCCAAACCTGCTCCTAAGCAGGAAGAAAAATGAGGCACCACCTTTCTGGAGTGTGGCACTTCATAGACAAGGGTTTGTGGGATACTCTGATTCCATCCACGTGGAGAGGAAGGGGACCGTACCATCAGAGCAGCATGCTGTGAAAGGCTGGCTGTCCATCCGCTGTAGGAAACGTGCTGATGAAGGATCCAATAAAAAGTGTGGTCCACTAACACCCACTGACAACTGGAGAGGCTCTAAGGCTCTTTACAGCTATTAACAGGAAGTGAAATATCCCTGTTCACTGCCCAACAGAATACAGGGAAGAAAATATATATCCACTCAATATGAGACCACTCTCTGGCCTCCTCCCCTGGGAAGCCACACACCTGGCAGAGATGAGCTGCAGCAGAGGATAGAGAAGCTGCCACCTGCCCTGGAGCTCCCAGCCACAAGAACAGTCCAGCGGTAACCCATGCTGTGAGTGTCCCCCGGTGACCACCAGGGAGTCTGCAGAAGGGGGAAGTGGGGGCAGCCACAGGCTAGGTCACAGCCTTCTTCAGGGACAGAATAGGGAGAAGCAAGCAGGGTTGCTGAGCAAGCATACTCGTGGACACCTGTGAATTCCTGCTCCGTGTACGGAACGGTTCTGACATTACAGATGGATGATACAAAGTCACAGCAGTGCACGCCCTAGGAAGGGCCACATGGGAGTGGAGATGGCGACTGCAATGCGATCACATAGCCTGTGCTTCCCATGGACGTTCTTTTCTTTAGATGCTCACGTGGCAGGAAGTGTGTCCATTCCACAGGGACAGAAACTAAGCTGAAAGGAGTTCAGTCACTTCCCTAAGCCAAACCTTGAACCCAGATCAATCTGAAGCTACAGCCAAGGTCCTGCCCTTTGTCATTCTGTTTCCTGGCTGGCTCCCCAGTCTTCTTAGAAGAGAGTACATTGTAAATAATATCCCATTTTAGCTATAAAGACAAACGTTCTAGTTATATCTGAACAGCAGGGGGCCAAGAGTTTGCCAACAGGATCGTAAGACTCCTCTGTTACGGCGAAGTTGAACCAATGATGGATGTAACTGCTGCCTTGGCTTCTAGGCAGAATTAAAGTGCTTGCATTTTCAAAAATGAGTGGAAAAGCTATCTGGAGACAGGCCTTAAAACCAGGAAAGAATACTGACAAGAAAGGGAGCGAGGGAGGAGGGAAGGGTAGGAAGGAAGGTTGAAAACAAGGAATCCCTCAGCAAAAGGGCCCAAGGGAAGAAGGAGGAGCTGCAGACACAGAGGAAACCTGTGGAGCGCCCCAGGGCAAAGGCCAGGCCTCCAGAACTCTAAATCCAGTCAAGGCAGTACACACGGTCCTGATATTCGCCGCACAGCTTACCATGGTGTGTCTGCTGTTAGTCAAGTCCAGAGGAAACAGAGTAAGAGTTGCCTTTATTCACCTCCTTCTAAGATCCCCAGCCTCAGCTGAGGCAATCTGAGTGCTTACTGCCTCAAAATCACTGCTCTAAGTGCTGTCTGTGGATTCTCCTGTGTGATGCTCCGATAACCATTCTTACGTCCCCACTGTGCAGATGAGGGCACTGAGGCCCAGGAGATGAAAATGACATTGCTACAGGCAAGCGGGGTTCCTCAGGGCTCCCGGCCCTCTGGCATGCTGCCTGCTCATCCCCAGGGAGGTGCTCACCCAACTCCCAGTCCCCCGTCCTGACTTGCAGCCCTCCTCCCTCTTCCCGCACCCAGCCTGGTTCTGTGTACCAAGTAGGATACCCAGAGCGAGTGCCTCTGGGCCATCCCAGGCCTCCAGGGAGCCGGAGCTGTCCTGGGCCTTGGGGGAGCCGGGGCCTGTGGGCCAGATGACTCCGAGTGAGAGGCAAGCTAGATTGCGCAGAGACTACCACACAAAGCACGGACCCAACACCAGGCAAGCACGCGCCCACCCTGAACCGCCAAGAACTGTCTTCACAAAGATGGAGATGGGACTCAAAGAGCGCTCAGGAGGAGACAACACAAATGGAAATACAATAGAAAAACTTGAGAAAAGCTACCTGTACTATAAGACTCTTGAATTTAGCAAGCATAAACAGCAGGCTTAAAATTTGCTAGAGCACAGTCATTTTTATATTGGGGACATATGTAGCTTGCCCCCCATATAAAAAGACAGTAGGAATAGGGAAAATAGTTTTTTAAAATACTCTCCCATTTTCACATTTGCAGCACTGATATTTATGTAGTCTAATTTCCATAACAAAAATTTTAAAATCTGTCTCAAATATAACTCCTCAAAATAATGTCAGTAAAACTGGGGAGAGAAGCTGAATGCATCATAAAATGATCTCAGTGAGAAGGCGGTGTGAGGAGGTTGGCCCAGCCAACGCTCTTCCCAAGGTTTGCAACTGCAAAAAGATCCTTACCCTCAACCCCCTTCACTTAGCCCAGAGAAACATGGAAAACAGTAAGCCACATTTCCTAAGAGAAGTTTAGCAAGCATTCAAAGCTGCCTTCTTTCTCCTCCCTTGTCACAAAAACCATGAGATCAAAAACCAACGAACTTCAAACTCTGATTCCACTTCAAATTGAAGAAATGCTCAAAGCCTCAGCCTTGGAGATTCACACATGTCAAACCTCAGTCAAGTTGTTTCCATCCAGTATCTAATAGAAAAACACATGGTCAGAACCTTTAAGGATCCCATGTAAATTTTTCTACTTTCATATTTCAGTTGCATGATTATTATGGACCTTCATGATTAATTATGGACCTTCCACATATCTTTCTTTGCTTATTTAAAACTACTTCTGAAGTAATAATGTTGGTATGAAGAACACTAAATCAATATATGATTTCCTGGAATCCAGACATTGCTCAGATAAGCAGCAAAAGCCTATTTCAAAACACAGCTCCACTGACCACTTTAGAGAATAGAACGAATTTCTAACTTTTAAATATGCCATCCGTCTATCCTAAAAGAAGAAAACATTTCCTTTGTGAAAATGCAAATCACTTTCCTTTACCAGAAAACAACCTCCTTCCCATGTCCCAGTGACCCACCTCCTAACCGTTTCAGAACCACATCAGACAGTGCCACCCCGGTGGGAGGAGAGACTTACAGTTGAAGATGCCCGGAGGCGGGTGCTCGGTCACCAGGAGACAGTTCTCTTCATCACTGTTGTCCCCACAGTCGTTCTGTTGGTTACAGACCAGCGAACCAAGATACAAGCATTTACCGCTGGTGCAGGTGAATTTGCACTCTGAAAAAGTACAATATAAAGCATGGAGCAGTCAATGCAAGCTTGGTGCTCTTGAGCTGTGACTGTTGTTGGTTTTTCTTTCCCCCATTTGCATGCCATGATTGGGAGCTCAGACTATCTGGAGAGCCCAGGGCACTAAACTCAGAGAAGGGCCATCTGGGTAAGGACCTTCCTTGTCTGAAACACGCAGGATGGTGCCCTCCTGCATTCCACAGGGGCGTCGAGGCCTGCCATGCATGCCTCACCCTGCAGCACTGCCCACATGAGCAGCATAGGTGCTCTCTTTCTTTCCACAACCTGCTCTGCAAAAGTCATAGCTGTGGGGCTCTATTATTCGGCTTGAAATCATCCTTGGCAGTTCTCCACACCCCTGAGAATGGGGGAGCCCATGCAGCTAGCCATGGCAGGGGGCCAGCAGAACTCAGGAGTGCTGGCTTACAGAAGGACACTCAGGCATTTTATTTTCCACTTGCCACTGTCTTGTGGTGAGAATCTGGACACAATATTTTACTTCTCTGATGTTCATTCGTCCCATGCCTAAGAAAAATCAGGCATAACACCAGGCATGGGTAGCAGTGAATTTATAACGTAAAACGGGAAAATCACGTGTGTTTTCTGCTAAAGGGCCATGTTGGTAAATTATAAAAATAGGGCAGATCCCATACCCAAATCTCTATAGGCCATACTGAACACAGGCTCCCTAAAATCTGTACAAATCAATATTTGAAAATGGAATTCAGTTTTGTAGGACTTTAAAATAAATTTGCGTACTTAACACATTACTATCACTTTAAGCAATGGAGAATAATGGAAGTTACACAATTATATATGCTTGGGAACAGACGGGTCCATTACATCTTACAGTGACTGTCATCCTGCATTCTGAGTGTGGGCTTGGCCCTAGGAGACCACAGAAGCCGGCAGGATTCACACAGCACGGCCCACTCAGTAGACAGCAGGAAGACAGAGTCTCCGGAGCAGTCCAGGGTTCCTCACTGCCGCTGACTGTCACGGCCTCTTCCTTTTTTGAGGCCTTGGTTCTATCTGTCTGGAATAAGGGCGACAGGCCTGGATCAAGTCCAAGGTGCTTTCAACTCTAATTTTCCATCATTCAAATAAAAGGCTGAGCATCGGCACACCAAGCCCTCTTCCAGCGATGCTAACTATGTGTGGGGCTGCCCCAGACCAGCCTGCCTCACAGGGATGAACTGTGGCCCGCAAGAGAATAACCTTTACCTGTTGTAAAGAAACACAACTTCACAACTTAAGGGTCCTCAAAGTATTTTTGTGAACCTGTATGAAAAGGGTATTACAATCCTCCATTTTTTCACATTCTCCTAAAAGAGTATAGAAAAAGAAACCAGCCGAGCTGCTGACCTAGTTTAGAATAACATGTGAACACAGCACAAATGCACACCCACTAGTGCCTTGCTGGCGGCGCCATCCAGGTTAGAAAATCTGTGTGCCGAGAGAGGCCAGGCCACGTGGTGGGGGTGCTGCTGGAGCCAAACGCTCTCTTTCCATAAAGTGGAAAGATTAAAACCCAGCTGTTTGAAATCACATTTATGAAGTAACATTTTTTAACTTCATGGAAAAAAGGAATGTCAAGGGAAAAATTTATCATCCTTTCCAAAAGAAATATTGGACTATGGATTTATACCAAACATGAAAAGCACATTAACCAAAAACAGGTACTCCCCGTGTTGCTAAAACAGGGACTGGGAAAAAAGGAATACTAACCTGAATTGAATCAAACTCTAACTAAAAAATTCACCATTGCTGTGGTTTGAAAGAATCTGAGGTGAGACTACCATATTCAAGTTGGTGTGGAACGTTAAATTCGCCAGGAAATGAAACCACATCCACACTTTACTCATTTTACCTCGTTGGAGGGAGACATGACATACTTGCAAGGAAATGAATTCCGTGACTCATTCATTCGTTCATATAACCAATATATTAGCCGCTTCCATGCTCCATGCGAGGTACTGAGACATGGAAGCTCAGAAATGAATGAGCTAGCCCTCTTCAAAGAGCTTATGATATGAATTATTTTAAAAATATAAGCAGTGACTAATTTGCCACTCCTTCCAAGGCCACACATTTCCCTTCTTTATCTTCTTCATGTCTAGAGTGCCGCCCAGCCTATGACAGGAACTTGGTGAATCACACATTTATTGAATAAACGAATAATCTGATCGGGGCCTCCTAAGAGCCCTGTGAAATAATTAGAGCAGGTATCATTCTTCCCATTTTATTTCATTTTGCCCTATCTCACCACACTGCCTCAGTTTCCAAATCCACTTTCAGGAATGTGAGAGACGCGCTTGTAATGGGCATGGCCCCATGCATAACAAAGTTCCCCAAATGGCCTGTTGTCTTAAGTAGGTTCAACATTACTCAGGAAGTACTAACAAGGCTTGTGCTACTAATGTGCTTGGCTCTTACTTCTTAGATAACTGAAAGAACATCAATCTACTGAATTTCAAATCCAGCTGGGTACAGTGACTCAGACCTGCACTCCCAGCACTTTGGGAAGCTGAGGCAGGAGGGTCATTTGAGGCCAGGAGTTCTAGACCAGCCTGGGCAACAAAGAGAGACTCTGTCTTCACAAAAAAGTTTAAAAATTAGCCAAGTGTAGTGGTGCACTCCTGTACTCCCAGCTACTCAGGAAGCTAAGGCAAGAGGATCGCTTGTGCCCAGAAGTTCAAGGCTGAAGTGAGCTATGATCACACCACTGCAGCACTCAAGCCCAGGTGACAGAGCAAGACCCAGTCTCTAAAAAATAAAAAACTGCAAATTTATAAAATCTAAACCTCAGCAGTGAGTCACTAGCCCAATATCAGAATAAGATCTTTCCATTACATGGCCATTGGAATCAGAATGACCAGACTGAGAATTTGAATTTATTGGCTTCTTGATGTGATACAGAAAATACTAGAAAATTGCTGTAATGTGATTAAGTACTAAGAATTAATGCTAAAGCTGGAATGGGAACTGCAGAGCACAGTAAATATCTGTCCAAGTTAACAAAACTGGCGTTGACAGAGGCAGGCTTCCACCTCCATCCAACCTCCCCCAGGCTGTCTCCAGCACACTATAACACCCAAAAGCCCAGTGCATTCAGGTCCTCTAGTAACGAGGTTATTGCGGTATTTCAAACAAACCGATAACTCCAGGAGAAAGGCCCTCACCTTAGCTGCATATTGGGATCACCTGGACATCTTACAGCACTGCCAGGGTCGGGGTCCCAGCCAGGTCTTTCTCTCGCTGGCTTGAGGTGCAGTCAGACAGTGTGGGTTTCCAGCACCCCCGGCATGACTCCAACGGGCAGCGCAGATGGGGAACCACTGTCTACTGAGAAAAGAGGTAGCTAACTTACAGCAAGCCTCCTCTATAGTTAATGGTGTTTTATTGGAATGTTTATTTCGCATTTGCTAATTTACAAAGAACAAACTAAAATACAAGCTCTTAAAATAAGCAGGTATTTGGATAATTGCTGGCTACAGGGCCCAGTCGCAGTATTGTTCTATCAATGGGCCATTTTGGAAACTTTGGAACCAATGTAGTTTTGACCCCTAAACTACATTTTGACAGACTAGAACCAGAGTGTCCTCCATGAACTAAACTCAAGTCAGAGAAAGACAATGGAAGAATTTTTAAAATATGTTGTCCTATAATATGTTGTCTATTCTTTGTGGAACTTGTTGAGTATTTCTGACAAGCTAGAAGTTGAGGGAAATCAAGGATTGTTAAACATAGAAACATTTTGGTGACAAATTCATGGTGACCTGAGATGGACGATATTGGACTGGAATACAGACTGAGCCGCTCGGGAACCAGGATCTCCTCCAGGAACGGCAGACGTATTATAACCATTTATAAGATTTATATCACTCCTCATCTTTAAAAAGTTGGGACCTTTTAAGTGAAGAAAGTGGCATTTTTCTTTGCCAAAATATCTATTTGATTTCTTACTAAAAAAAAAAAAAAAAGCTTAGCAGAAACAACTTCCAGAATCAACAACAGACTTTAGAATCGCTGTATATACTTCTAGCAATAATACAATCCTCTCTACATTTGGGGTCTTTAGCCTCTCTGCATTTCTACGTAAAACTTCTGATGGGTTTTTCAATGTTGTGGAGTTATCCCAGAGTCATCAAATCTTACTGCTGAGAGGGACCTAGACACATGGTCCACCTCTCACCTCCCAGGTGAGGAAGGAGCCCAGGGATAAACCCTGACTCACCCAAAGCTAGAAAATGAATTACCTGTAGTGGAACATAAAACTCAAGATTTCCATCAGATTGAGAGGAAACCCTTTTTTGTCCTCAAGGTCATTCTAGTTATGTACAAACTAACATCAGACAGTTGGGCTATACCATGTGCAAGAGGAGAAAGGAAAAGAATAATTAACAGGAACAGAATTTCCTAATATTTTGTCACCTTTGAAAAAACAGGGAATTTTAGGAGTCCTAAAACTAGGGGAAAAATTGAATATCTTAAAGTTTTCTGTGAATTCCAAACTTATATACAGAAAACGTATATTAAAAAAATTTTTAAGAATCAGTTGCTAAACAAATTTGAATAATGTAAACCTAAACCCAGTCAGAATTCAATGATAAATGCTCAGTCTTAAGCAGAACAAATCAAGCCTCACAGAGACTAAATTTAATCTGCTTGGTAGAGTCAACATTCTACTAGTTAACAGGCAACAAAAAGTTGTTTTCAATTTCTCCAACACTCCTTTAAAGCCTTACTTTTCACAGATACGATCTCAGTCACAAAATAAGGACCTATATACAGCATTACATCTCAGCTGTAAAATCAGCCTTTTTTGTGAATTGGCAAAGTAGTCTACATTAGTTATTTCTGTTAAAATTCATATAGCAACACTGACTCATTTAGTTCACACTTCTATCATTCACAAACCTGAAAATGGAGAGTGATTCTGGCTCCATCATTTCTGACATTAAAGTCTAGAACCTGCTCTTAGTATG